ATTCAAATGCCACCAATTTGGATCCACATGCCACCAATGTAACTTTTTGTTTGACTGTTTGACATGCAGCTGTGGTTGCTGCAGCTGACGAAACGCACCCTGCCCCAGTGAAGCCCTACTTCAGGTCGAGCAGTCTCTTGTCAGGTGCCCGGAATGCGCGTAGAGCTCATCATCTTGAAGTATTTAGAAAAGCTCAATTATATAACCAATCCTGTAGATGAATGTCTTGCAAACTGGCAGGGAACCCACAGAAGCCAAGGTTCGTTTAAAGTTCCCACTGTGTTTTTCACCTTAGAAGGCTATCAGAGACATTTGCAGAGACTAGCTGTCTAGCTTTTGCGTTTCTGTTGAATAATACGCTGCCCACAATGCTTTTCTGGGTGATGGCCTCCAGGTCAAAAACCAACACCAGGAACTGAGCGGCTGGCTGCCTGGCAGGGCTTGGCTTAGGTCTAGACTTGGTGCAAGCAGCTCATTCGAAGGGTTGGCCAAGTCCCCTATTAATTACATCGGTGCGCCGATGTGGTTGGGAATATTCCAACTCGAACGGTTGGCGCCCACTATTTCTTCGCACCCATCTGATCGCTCAATCAGCAAACGACTGAGGCCGTGGCCTTTCCACTGTGGCGCCTGGGCCCAAAGTCGAAGTTACAACTGTGCAACGTGAACAGGCAAGGTTTGCATCGGTAAGCCGATGGGGTTTTACATGTCGAATTACTCATTGGTGCGCCGTTGACGTATGTTGGACCGATCAAACTTTCCAAAGCAAATGTCTATTCAAGCCATCAGTTGGAAGCAAATCAGTAGCCATGGCAATTGTGCTGCAAGCAGCGTAGGAATTGTGGGAAAGTTGTGGTATGGCGGCTTCTTATTGCATTGACTTTCCGACCGATTGCAATCAGTAGTTGGCCCACGGCTGATATCGCGCCGTGCGGTTTCGGTTGGTATTCACCCCACCAGCACCCACCCCCTTGTGTTTCTTTTAGTTGAGCGCGTGTAAGCTCCACTTCTAGCGTTTCACACCGACTTTGCCGCTATGGCTCCAGGAAAACAATCCACTTGCGTGAGCCGTGACTGCACTTCGTGCCATTCGCTTTCGCATCATTTGACTTTGACCTCTTTCGGGACCGTGTTACTTTCCGTGGGAACACTGCGCACTAGTATCCGTGTCATGGCGGGTGGGGTGGGGTGGGTGGGGCGATCTGTTCTCGATCCGCGTCGTTCTTGCCTCAGAGCTGCATTTAGGGTAAGGAGACAAGAGTTTAGGGCAAATGAGGTATGAATTTTACAGATATGAATTTTACTGCGCCAGTTCCAAACTGCTGGCAGATATGACGCCATGTTTTAAGTCACAGGTATCATAGCCCAGGTGTTTATCTTCCACTGGCTCTAACTGTTTTAACAGTATGAATACAGTATGAAACACACATGTCAAAGGGAACATGATGTTTTGATAATTACCTTGGCGTTCAGATGTGGAACCTGCTGGCCACTGCGTTTCATGTCAGGAAAAGTCGTCTTGAACACCCGGAAACCATTCAAGACATCTCTTTCTGCTACCATCTTCTAGCATGCACTTCCCGAAGAACCTGAGGACCGTCTGGCTCATGTTATCTGCACTAAGAGATGTTGAGAACAGTTCATGTGCATTCCATTGCCATGTCCATGTCGACTGCACATTTCAGTGACGTGACAAAGTAATTTCGGCCCAGAAAGTTTGGACAAACAAGAATATTCATGGAATCAGTAGATCATTAAGCATTCTTTTCCGTGGTGCTCTTGGAGGTGCAAAGCTTGAGAGGTGCCATCGTCTTGTTTTGGAGTCGTGTTGGGTCCTGAGACCCAAGTCAGCGCATTGGTGGAACATAGTCAGTACACACGGCAAAAACTCTAGCACCTGTCTTTGGGCACCCACCCGCAAGATGCCAAGTCTTGTGATTGAGCAGCCTGCCGCAAACCGGTGTGGCTAATCAAATCATCGTCAAGCCGATGAGAACTAAATATACTGGCCAAAAATTTTTTGGAACATAATCACGGATGTGTAAAACATGTTACACAATCCTACTAGTGCAAAATGCCTCTGAGTCTTGGAGTCTGTTTCGGTTTCAGAGTCTGATTCCAATAACTTTGATATAGTATGATTATGTATTTCTCGCTCTCCCTCTCTCTCTAAATAATATATATATATATAGTTATATGTTTCAACCACAAAAGATCAAACGCGGATGTTCGCACACCAAGGCCAAACAAAAAACTGCACTACTCATCAGCCTGGTGGGATCGTGCTCTACTAAGACAGATCCGCCAAAATCCCTATCACACACAGCAGGCATATAACTATAAACGAAATATAGTGAATGTAATACTAACATACTGTGATCCATCATAAATACTCATAAGTTACATATAAGTATGATAATAATTGTTGGTAACAATGGCAAGAAGAACAACGATACTAAGTAACAATGACACATTTAATGATTGACATATCTCTTCATACACGAACACATCGGGGCTTGAGTCAGCCCATGTCCACGGCTGCCAGGTGTGCAGTACAGATGATCTTGCAGAGCGTCAAAAAAGGAGGGGGGATCATGCAAGACGGGTTGGACGCTCCTCGCGCTTTCGAAGCGTCTCAGCTGGGAGGATGCGGTGCGTCTCAGCTCAGTCGGAACAAAAGGAGAAAGCCGGGGGCGGTTCCCCCATTGAGGAATGGGGACGCGGGGAGGAACTCCCCCCTATCAGCGGGTGCAAGAGAGACACTCCGTGATGATCTGGGAAGTGAATCTATAGCATTTCTTGCCTGTCTGAATCTGAAGTGGATCATAACCACCCCTTCCCAGAGTAGAAAAATCATGTCCACTTTCTAGCAGGATTTCATGAAATTACATGTCTTGCCACTCTTTAAACTCAGGTAGTCGATGAGTTGCCATGATTCGCTGGCCGGGGTGGCCTTTGGACACTTCAGCCAGGTTCCTGAGGTAGATCCGGAAGCCCTGTGCCAAAGAAGAAGCAGGGCCGAGATTATAGCGGTCCCCAAACAGATAGTGGCACGGTTTCCAATACATCTATAGAGTTATTTGTGGGAATCGACTTTTCTATCTATTGGGGGGTCTATATATATGCCATTTTTGCCGGCCTCCCGGCCACTTCTTCAGCTGGCAGGATCCAACTTCTAGAGCAACGCTGGTCTTTGTCGCTGGAGCAGGCGGCGGAGCGTCGCTTGAGAACGTCGCTTGGGAGTTCAGTTTGATGGTTGATAAGATTTTGCCTGAAAAAGTTTCACCATCCATGTCTCGGGGCCCTGGGGTTGCTTATTGTTATTAATCATTTGGCTCATGGCGTCAAGGGACCAACAAGAGTTGGTGGCCAGGGATGGAAAGTTGCTTGTGCTGCTTCGAGAGTAAGGGCAGAAGGTGGAAGGGAACGTTGCTAGTGACATGATCCTTAACCGGCCATGTTTGGCAGTTTAAACCCTCCGGTTGGTTGGCATTGTTTTGTCATTGACTTTGATGATCGATTGTGAGCTCTCCCGCGTGCGCAACAGATCGATCCAAATGATTGGCAACTGCAGCAGAAATGAGTTTTGTGAAGCATAACTTAGTTGGAATGATCAGATGTGTCCCAATATTCAAATGAACCCAGTTCATTTAGCAATATTGGAACATAGCTGAGTTTTGGGACATTTGCACCGCTCTTTTGAAGAGTCCGACTCTTGCTAGCTACCCCCGTGACATCCCCTGATGCATTGCAAAAGAGACCCACGAGAAACCCATGTGAGGTGTCTTGAGCAGATAGGCTTGGCGCTTTTTCTTTCGCCCATGGCGAGCTGGAGTGCGGTGAAGGCAGATGGCCCAGTGCCTGAGGGCGACCATGCCTTTCAGCAGAAGATGTGACATCTCACTGAGCTCTTGGGATACCCGACCATGTTGGTAGATCTTGGTATTGAATCTTCGGATGAAGAGATGCCTGTGCGGTTGCAAAACATTCTAAGCCTGTGCACCAGCGATCGGAAGGAAAGCAACAAGCAACCACAAATACCACATGAGATGATCTCAGATGTCAAATCCTCACCAAAAATACGGATGGGAGACAACTCAAAGACGGGAGACAACTAACTCAAAGATGGGAGAGCATCCACCCCCCAAAGCACAGATTGCTTTGCCAGCTCAATTATGAGACAAACCCAGAGAGCACCGAGTATATCCGAGTATTTGCCACATGCCACATGCAACAGCTTGGCTTAGCTATCAGTCTCATCACAGATCCCTTCACCTGGGCCATACCACACTGGACCGCCCCTGGACTCATTTATCGACTCGTCCTCACAGGTCCATAGATGGCCTTTACTAATTGTTTGGTTGATGAACAGAACGATACCCCCGAAAATCGTGTACAAGCAAATCCGATCATGTGAGGGCTTCGCGCCTGGCCTCCCGACACCTTACCTTACGCGTTGCCTTCGCCGTTTGGCCTGGACCAACCCTCCCAGGTTGGTGTTTGGCCCCTGGACGAGCACAATGTCCGGCTGTTGGATGCCGTTCACCCGAAGGACTGGGCGCCACCCGAGCGCCCTGAGACCTTTGTCTATGCGGGAGGCCCAGTTTTTGGCCGGCTTATGGCAAGAGACACAGGCAGTGTGGCCAGTGGTCATATGTTATCGTATGTTGGTGTTTCGTTGTTTTTTTGGTGTTAACATACTGTAAGTAGGCGTGTTGAATCCACAGCTAATCAATGCCAATTATATATGTCACCAAAAGCTTGGAAGCATTCGAAGAGGTGATGTTGCTTTGTCTTCGCCGACATGGAAGTGGATGGCATGGCGCCGTAACTATGATCAGTTTCCTCAAAGATTTTTTCCACGTAACCATGAGATAATTTTAGGAAGTGTCTCCTCGCCAATCGGCCGGACGCTGAGGATTTGATCGCCTTGGGTGCCGGCGCAGGTGGCCTGGTCTCGGCCAAGCAGTCCGCACGAGACTCGGTGGCGATGGACGGCGGTGCGTGACGTCACCTACGATGCGGCGCACCAGCCGATCTCAAAGATCTCAAAGGATGTCAAGTCTTTGGAAATGATTGCAGTATATTGAGATCGTTAATTAACAGAACATTGGTCAAGTAAGTATAAGTAGTTGTTGATCAACCATGTACATGCTGCAACTGTTTTTGTCTCAGTTTGGAGGCAGGTTTCGATGTGAGCCAGTTTACGTGGTATGTATACGTTCAGTCCAGCTGGAACCACCGTCATGCCCAGTTAAATCCTTAGGCCCAAGGAGCTTGAAGGGAACCACGTGGAACCACCATGTAAGACCATCATCGCGGCTGGGGACCAGCAAGGACCTGGATGGGTTTCTACCGTATCATACGGACCATCCAAGAGACAAGAGGACCATCCCACGAGTAGTTCTTGCGCACACACGCTGGCCGGCTCAACACTGTTGTGCCGGTTCGGTGGGGCATTATGAGGAAGTGAGATACCATCTATAAACGTTACACAATTGAGACCCCAGACATGCTTAAGTCTTAGCTTTTGGGCTTGCAGATCGGGCTGCCGGGGGCAGGTCCGGTCCGTTGTTTGTTCTATCCTTTACGCCAAGGATAAACTCTTATCATGATCACCAAGAGTAGATTGACCAGATAGATATTGATAAGGATAGATCACCAAGAGTTTATCCCAAGGATAAACTCTTATCACCAAGAGTAGATTGACAAGCGTTATTCACCGGAGCACCTCTTCAACCACTCGCGCCCGTCCGAGGACGCGGTGCCAAGAGTGCGCTGATCGAAATGCACCTGGCCGCCGGGCACCATGAGTTCGGACGACCTACTGTATCCATACAGACCCCCAAGTAGATAGAAACATCAATCCCCACTAAAAATGTCTTGGAAACCTTGCCACGATCTATTGGGGGACCACTATAAATATATACTCATAATAAATACTCCATATATTCCTGTCAAAGGCCGAGGTCGTCCTGGCCACCCGCCCAGGCTGGTGGGGACTGCTTGAACGTGGGCTGTGTCCCTTCCAAAGCCCTGCTTCGCTGCGCACGCGCTGTGGCCGAAGTGCGGCGCAGCAGCGAGCTGGGGATGGCAGGCGGAGCGGACCTTCAGGACGAATGGGACTTTTAGAGCAGAATCTGAAACAGGATCCGAGCATTTTCTCCTGAACAGGTAGGCCGTGGTGTTTTGCTATGTTTTGGTGCAAAACGGCCCGTGATCGGTCCGATTTAGTGCAGTTTGCCAAGTGAAATCCAACAGGTGGAAGGAGGTCAACCTGTTTTCCAGGGAACTGAGGGGATCAGAATGGATCAGATGTACCATGGGTGCTGGTGGATGGACACCCAGCTGGATTAAGGATGGATGCATGCGACATTCTGCTTCTTAAAACAGCCGTTGATTCTGGGGTGTTGTTATGGCATGTTATGGCCAATCCTGGCTGTGCTCACTGATCCTCACCATGCCAAAGATATCCAAACCCACCTTGGAGCTATACAGTATACCACGTACACCACAATTAATCAATCAACAATCCTTATAGTGTATTGAGAGTAGATGGCACAGACCCCAAGAGGTGGTTTATATGGACCCCCATCTAAAGGACATCTTGGGGTCTGTGCCATCTACTCTGAAACCACTGTATACAATCCTGTTTTGGAGCACCCCATCACAGTTCCCACAGCTGAACCGCCGAGCTTCCCGGAGGCACCAGTGCTGCGGTGCACTTCGAGCGCGTGATGGAGCGCATGCGACGCTTGAGGGCCGACATTGCCCCGGTGGACGCGCACACGACCTCTCGAGACGTGGGCGTGGATGTTTACATGGGCAAAGCCTGCTTTACTGGGAAGAATGAGCTGAAGGTGGGGTGGTGATTTGCTTGGTGTGTTCTTGCACTCGGCTCGGGCTCCAGGAAGGTTTGAAGGCAGGACCTCGAACCGCAAAAATTCAGGGTTTCGCTCGGTCAGAGTTTCCGACATCGTGTTGAAGATGAACACCTCAATTGGCTAATTAAATGGTTACCACCGTTCGGCTCACAGGAAAACCACCAACACAACCCAAAAAAAAATCCCAAGGCGATCCAACTGCCACCACGTTTCGCTCCTCTGAACGCAGTCCGCTCGCTGCCCTGCTTACCCTGCTTTTGCTCCGACCTTGCAGGTGGGTGAACGAACCTTGCGCTTCCGCAAAGCGGTCATTGCCACTGGTGGGCGTGCACGGGTACCACCTATCTCTGGTGTGCTGGCCGTGCTGGGGTGTGTGTGTGTAGGTGGTTACACAGCTTCGACTTAGTCAAGGAAAAGGAACATCACATAACATCACACATATATATATATATCTTCTAAAACTATATATAAAAGCAAAACGACCTAAAAGGTAAATATGTATATATCATATATATATATATTTATTTGATCTTCCTTGTGTGGGGTCGGTTCATGATGGCCACCGCCTTTCATATGTCACCAATTGAGACGCGACATCTCATCCTCATTGTAATGGGTCTCCTGCTTCACACCACTCAAGGACATCTCCAGCATCAACAATCCATGAGGCAGATTTGGCCCCCCAAGCACTGCCAACTTATTGGCCATTGGACCCAAGTCCTCACCACCATGATGGAATCCTGACCACCATGGAAGCCCAAACAAAGGACAGGCTTCCAGAAAGCCGTTGAGTGTGCTCAAGACCCCGCACAAGAAAAAGGCCAGCCAAGAGCATGGTGAGAGGTTCCAAAGACTGACCGATTCACCCTAAGCAAACATGAGTGCTTCCATATTTGTACCTCAAGAGTCAGCCTTTTTGACACACCTGTTTGATCCGGACAGAGCCAGATGCTCTTCGCTTCGTTGTCCGTCATGGATTTCACCCGGTCGCCCCAGGCTTGGACTCCGTGCCCTACTTGACGAACGCCAGCTTATTCAACCTCACGAAGCTCCCTCCACGCTTGGTGATTCTGGGTGCTGGGCCCATTTCCTTGGAGATGGCACAGGTCGCTTGGAATCGGTGAACGGAAGGAGGAAGGGCGACAGTGACGTGGGGGTGTGGTTCGGAGGGAGGAAAACGAGGCTTTTTACGGGGGATTGTTGAGTCATGTTGAGTCGAATGCTTCGGAGGCGTTGGTGGGATACATAATAAGAGAGTAGTAGGATGTAGTATGTGATAGTAGGTGATAGCTGGTAGAATCTACATGACTGACTTCTTCTGGAGGTTTGGGTGCGAGATTCTTTACTTTCTCCAAGTCGTGCATGAGATTGTCTGTGGCGGGGTTCTTGATGATCTTGATGTGAACTGCTTCAGATGCTGTCCAGCAGCATGGCTAGCTTGGAATCTTTGGATCGCACGGGGTGAAGAACTTTGGTCCTTATTTGCTTGTGTAAGCGAAGCATCAGAACTTGCGAAAGCACCTGGACCTCCTTATGGCCCTTCTCTCCAGACAAGGGTCTTGCTCATGCTCCAATGCATCTTGAAGTCAGCAAAAAGAATTGCAATTTTCCCCAAGATCACGCGGATGTGTGCTGAGTAGTAGCGATTGCCAATGTACCATCATCCCGGCATCCCACATTCAAAGCGATGCAAATGGATCCACATGGCTTTGGCCGGCGCTAGGCCTTTGGCCGCTTCGGCAGCCGGGTCACCGTCCTGGAGGTCGCGCCCGAGATCTTGGGCGCCGAGGATGCGGATGCCAAGGCGGTGGGTTTATCATCTTGAAAGGAGTTGAATAAAGCGGGAGTGGCCCCAGGATGGAAAAGCCGAACTGATTATCTAACCCTAGGCCTCCAAGTACCTGCTGAGAAGGTGTTCGGGGTGGGTTTGGAGGGTCTAAGTACCTTCTGAGGAGGTACTTGGAGGTGTAGGGTAATGTTCATATGGGATCATATGGGGAATTGTAGGGAGATTAGCGAGGCTGGCTCTATTTTTCTGAACCAACTCATTTAAACCTCCTGGCGAGGTTCGGGGAAACAGACAGAGCCCTTGTAGGGTTTTTGGTGAGGCTTGATAATTTTGCGATCTGCCTGAAGAAATGAAGTGTTTGCAATGGCTAAGGTCATCTAAGGTCCTAAGCACAATAATCCCCAGATTCCTAATTCCTGCAACTGAGATGAAAGGGGAATTAGATGGAATTAGTATTGTCGAGAGGTTCCTAGAATTGAGGTGAAAGGGAACAAAGGTTTTCTTTACAACCAAACTGCGAGCAACGGTCGCCCTCCCAACGTTCATGTTTCAACATTCGTTTGAGGCCTTACTGCAGCAGGTCTTGGAGGAGGTGGGGCGGGACAGCGCAGGGAGGGATGGACTGACTCTACGCCCACTACGCCCTATAGGCCCTAGGCGAATGATGATGTCCAGAATTGATCGCCCAAAAGCATCCAAAAGCCTGTCCATTAGGCACAAAGTGGCCTTTTTCAGGGAACCTCTACGTGCTTCCATGACAAAAGGGTAGAGAATCATGAAATGGAACTGCTCCCAATGGCACGGCTACGTGCAACATCCATAAGTTCGACCCCGTGCCATAGGGCCCCCGCAGGAAGGAATCGAGATCCGCACGAATTGCATGGTGACGTCGGTGGCGCATAAGCCGGCAGCTGCAGAAGGGGAGTGGCCGGAAATTCAGCTTCTGGACTGAACAGTTCTGTCAGTCCATGGACTTATAGTTACTGTAATCTATTGTGTTATATATATATATATGTGGATAAGGAAGCTTGGTGTTTTGGAATTGTCTTCTTTTGTTTCCCTCACCTGTCATGGTTTTCACAGAAGGTAGGTCAGCTAGGTGGTCCACTGTGCCAGCTGCATGGCGCCGAGGCTCCAACTGGCCGATGCCTCCGTGCACTGCGAGGCCTTCCTGGTGGCCGCCGGGCGCGTGCCCAATGTGGAGGGCCTAGGGCTCGAGGCAGCGGGGGTGGACTGCGCAGCCAGTGGGGTGAAGGTGAATGATGCTTGGAAGGAAAGTTATTGATAGTTATTGGAGAAAACATCCGGGAAAACCGAAAGGAATCTACATGAATCTACAAAGTAATCAGATTCATGTGGAGTTATGGACTTCTTGTGTTTTTTTGTGTGTTTTTTTTTGTTCACCTGTTGTGTCTCTCCCCTAGTGTGAATGTGAATGACTTACTGGCTTGGGTTGGGGCATTTGCAGTGCATCAAGCAAGGTGCAAGATGCATGCCGCTGGGATGGATTCAACGAATGCCTACTAGTATCTACTAGTCTAGTGGGGCGTTCAGTGCCAAAGCGCAGGTTGAGCAGCTATGTTCGGTGCAAAACTTTGGGAAATCTTCAGGAACCAACTCTATCACCAGGTTGAATGCGAAAACACCACCCTGCAACCTTGCGAAAAAGATAAGTCATTTTATAACTCCCTGGTGAGCAACTTCTTATAGGTGGTGTGGATTTGGACCAAGTAACCTGTAACCTTTCACTTTTTCGAAGATTGAACCCTACAAAACCACTCCAAACATCCTCACTCACACTTTCTCATAAGCTATGTGGATTGGATTCCTATTCTTGGAAGAAATCTTGTGCCACCTGACTCACCCGCAGGCAAACCATCTACCAACCTACGGAGCATTTAGGATGTTTTTTATGGACCTTTAGGTCTTTCCAAAACAGGTCTTTTCTTTCAGCAGCAGGGCGGGAGGAGGTCATTCCAATGAGTTCGTTCGGATGCTTTGAACCAGTTGAACTCAGCAGGCCGGGGATCCCGCACAATCCGTGGCGGATCTCTCCCCGCCGAGGATGACTTGACCACTACGAATCCAGACATTCTGGCAGTGGGCGATGTGATCGAACGCGTGGACACCCGATTCACGCACATGTCTGGCACAATGGCTGGAATGGCGGTTCCTTGGGCGACACCAAAGTCCAATTGTAGTTATGTTTTTGGAGAGGTGGAGACACCAGACATCACCAGATGGTTTGTAAACGATCCCTAAGTTTGGGACAATAATAGTGGTAATGATCAGTCACTCTGTGAAGTTTGTTTTGCTGTTCATCCGTCTCTCCTTTATATACACTGTACACTGCACACTTGTATTTGGACACACCCAGTTTTTGTTTGTCACTTAGTTAATTATTCAAGCAGATGGAACCGGTTGTTCGTCATCTTGTGTCAGACTGTCCAGATTCGATCCAAACGAGGTGCAAAATGCCTTGTTTCCGGGGCAAGGTTTGCCCGTGAATGCGCCCTCCGGCAAGCTCTCAGAGATAGTGGTACCACGCTGCACCTACACCGAACCAGAAATCGCTTCTTGTGGTGTGTCCAATGACGCTGTGCCGGCATTTTTGCGTTGAGGTGTGCTCGCCCACTGACAGGTCGACTTTGCCCTTCATAACCAATATAATTCCATGGACTTCCACGAGACAAATTGTCCAATGTCATGTTTGTGTTTGATATGGGGCCTGCATGTTGAGGGAGTCAGGTTGTTTTGATAGGCGTCATTGCGCTGGACAAACAATTCCAAGAGCATACTCGCAGAATCTTGCAAAGAAGAAGTGGACAAAAAAACATGAAACTCTAGACTCTAGCTACTGATGTCGTGGGCTCAAACACTTGTGTGCTGGGGCATTTAGTTGGCTCGCCTCCGCAGCTGCTCTTGATGAAACTGGTTTGCTCACCTATCATCACTTTGGATCTCCTCATGATCTTGTTGATCTTGTGAGCATGCCAAGGAGAAGCTCGCAAGCCGCCAGAACCTTGAAGTCGATGTCTTCAAGGCCAGCATTGAGCACAACGACCGTGCCATCCTAGAAGGATCCCGACGAGGATATGTCACTTGGACGAAATGGCCAGCGCCCGAGCAGGTCGGAGCCCGTGAAACCCCGAGCGCCGGAGGTCGTTCCACTGAACCGACCCGGACCTCCCGTTGGATGCTTTTGCTGCAGACATGTCTTTGGTCCCAAGGAACTGGAACGACGCTACAAGGAACTCGCACCACCCACCTTGTAGCCAAGTCAGTTCCGTGCACGAGCCGGAGAGCAACATATGGCAATTCGAAGAGGTTTTGCACAGCTCTCTTTGTGTGACGTAATGTTGGCATTTGGGCGGCTGAGCATCCTTGCTGATTCTATATCTCGGAATCCTGAGGATTTTGGCTCAAATTCAAGTGCAAACCCAGCCAATGTAGAGACACCCTGTCCTTTCAGCATGTTGCGCGGGTCATACTCGCCTGTTGATGACCTCAGCAATTTGAGGCCGATCAGATCGGCTTTGAGGATTAGTTTTGTTTCTTATGCATGCCCTGATCGCCTTTTGCTTACATCAAACAGAACTCGTGGAGGTTCTTGTTTGCTGCCAGGGTTCCATGATGTTCCACTTGTTTCCCCTTTTTGCAATTGATTTTCGAATACATTGTTGCATTGTCATTCATCATGCCAGTTTGGTACATAACAGTATGATAACAGTATTATCATGTATTATCCTTGTATTGTTTACTCCTGCAATTCCACCGATGGGTGTCTTATACCCATCATACAGTGAGTGGAGAACAAGGAACCCTTCTGACTCGTTGCCTACGCGCCTGCCACGTCGCTGGAGGCCCCTGGGCTCCGCCCGCTCCAACCCTCTCTTCGACGCCACGCGCGCGCGGAAGAAGGCCGAGCAGGACTCGATCCTGTTGGCCAATCGGATCAGACTCCTGCGGGCGGAGGAGGCACGAACGAGGAAGAAGATTTCAGACGCTTGGTGAAGAAGAAAAAGATTGCTCCTTCCATATATCCATATGTGATCATAATTATAGTCACTATAGTCTCTATAGCAGTGAGCATGAGAGCTTGTTGGTTCAAATTGTTAGTTTTGGGTTTTGTCCACTATTTCAGTGGTTGTTGCCAGGTGTTTGATGCTTGTGTCTTGTGGTGCTTCGTTGCTGGTCAAACGGTTGTACGGCCTAGGGGTCAGTGACCCCATCGTGTCGCTCTCTCTCTCTCTCTCTCTCTTCGTTGGTCTCAAGCTCAGGACACCGAGAAGAAGACCCAAGAGATCCTTCGCTTCCGGCATCGCAATGAACAACGACGCCAGGAAAAGGAACAGTTCGAAGCGCAGAAGGAGCGCACGAATTGTGTGACTGAAGGTGTTACTGCTGGTTGTCCCGCTGTGGGCAGGTGTTTAGCGGATCCTTTAGATGGTTTTTACCTGGTTCTTGGGAACGATGAGTTTGTTCAGTTTCCTTCAAAGTCACAGAAGAATCCCCAAGATGATGTTCCTCCTTCCACATGCTAGGAACAAGGTCTGTGGGTGGAGGGTGTTTATTGATTTCTCTACAGATGGACAAGTCACAACCCGAGCTGTGTCACGCCAACAGGAGTGGATGGAGCACGAGTTCCGGACCAAGCAGATGGTGGAGCGAATCGATCAACAGCACAAGATCCTTGATAAGATGCTTGGAGACCGAAGAGGTTAAATAAACGTAGAGTACAGTACATTACTATATAACGAGTTTTTAAACAAACCAAGATCAACACATTAATAAAGCGTTTGTTCTATCTTGTTTGCTTCTCATCCGCCCACTGGATTTTTACAAAGCCCCACTTGGTCAGACAAATGTAGTTCATGAGATGCTCATGGCAGCTCGCACCTCCCATCCAACAGACAACTTGACAGACAACTTGTCGGAATTGTACCCCACACTGCCATACACAGCCATCTCACGTGGTCTTCTTCCAACAGCTCTAGGAAGAAGCAGATCCAAGAGCGCAACGCCTTGGGCGGCAGTGTGGCGCGGCAACAGCGCCAGCACCAGCGGGAGGTGGTTGACCTGGAACGCCAGGCGCACCAGGACGAGGCCTTCGCGCGTGCGGAGCAGGTGCGAGCTGCGATGGATAAGGCGGCACGAAGTCGAGCCAGGTGGGGACGTTGGGGAAGGTGGTGATGCTTGCTGGCATTTTCTTTCGTTTCTTAAGAATATACTTTCAAGGTTTGGAGAGGTTGTAACAAGATTCTTAGAGATGATGGAGATGTCGTGGCAACATCGTGCATCTTTGTTGCGGTTTCCGTGGCACTGAGGTCCGAGGGTGCCAAGCAAGAACTGGCGAAGGACGTTTTGCGGGAGCGTTTGCTGAGAGAGGAGGATGCTCGACGCATGCGGCTCAAGGAGGTGGAGAGAATGGAGCAAGAAGAAGCGGAGCTGCTGGAGAGGCTTCACAGATCTCAAGAGAGACACCGGATGGCCTATATGCAACTAGAGGATGTGTTGCCTGGAAGTTCTACAACCAAGTTGTCTATCTTGGTGACTTTGGAACAAACCTCTTCCCCGAAGATAGTATACTAGTTAGTAGTTGTCAAACATCCCCAGGCCAAAAGTCAAGGGTAGACGACAAACAACTCCCAGGTTGCGACAAGGCTCCAACGGATCCGCACTTGCGCCTTCCTTCACCTTCGAAGATCCCTACAGTGGCCGTAGCACACCGACCCGCGCCTTGGCCGAGCTCGGCCCGCTCCACCCGCCTGAGCGCGCCGCGCCGCACGTGGCGCACGTGGCGCACGTGGCGTCGGAGCCCGAGCGCCACAGCGTGGCGCGGCAGGCGAAGCCACCGCTGCCGCGGGCGCCGCCGGGCGCGCGGCCCAGCTCGGCGAGCCGCGTGCGGATGGCGCCCAGTGTCACTGTGGAGGCGGTGGATGCCGTGGATCGGCTGAGGCAGAAGCACTCAGCCAGTGCCATGAGCTGCTTGGATGGACTGACTGACACATGGTTTGTTTTAGTTTTGGAATGTTGCTGGGGGTTCTATCGCAGCTAGTGCTCGTAGAGAAGGTTTGGCCATTAACCTCAGAGTCGGGTCTTTGGAAGAACTGAATGCTTGACCTGTTCACCGAGTAAGGCAACACATCCACTGCCATTGGCGAAAGTTGCTTGGAGGGCCCCGGTGAGGGCAGCAACCCCAGCACACCATCTTCCGCGCCGCAAATCCGGTATACTACTGTGGATGGGGTGCAGCTAGACATCCCAGCTGAAGAAGACTTGGATTTAGCAGCTTTATTGAACGGCAGGTAGCTCATGCGGGGTTTCCGCCCAGAAGGAAGCGGACTTCCGTGCAGCGGATGGTTGTCGTGACGCAGAAATCGCAAGTCTCCGAAAACCTTTTGCACAAGATGTACTGAGTCTTTCTTTCAATGTGTTTCACTGTCTCACAGATGCATGTACAATCATGTACGCAGGAAGAAGATTAAGGAACCTGTGGCAAGCAGCGCAGAGAAAAGTTGATGAGACTGAGTCAGACTAAGACTTTTTGGCTTCTCATAGGGTTGCAAGTGATTGTATCATGTGAAGGAGAACCCATGGTTGTTGGAGCCCCCCTTTGTTCCCAATGTAACTGAGGGTGGTACACTCTCGCAGTATGGTGCTGCACAGTGAGTCAGGCCCAACTGCATAGACTGCTGCACCGGTTTTGAAACAGAATAGTTTACGAAAGCTGGAATGTAGCATTGTGAACAAAAATTCCAGGCAGAGCCCAGGATCGAAGAATCAACATTTGTTATTTGGCTCCATGTACTGTAGCTACTAGCTACTAGGCGGCGAACGCCAACACGTCAACGCTCCCATGAATACCTCCAGGTATCTCCAGGTCATTCTTTGAGTATTCTCCAGGTCATTCCATAAAGTTCCAGGCATCTCCATCTCCACACCACCAGCACTTTCGCTCTTCCATCCACTTGGGGCGGATCCCAAGGTGAAGATCTTGTGCCGCAAGGGCACCGAGGAGATCATCGGAGCGACCATCGTGGCGGAACATGCGGGGGAGATGTTGGCGGAGATCCTCGGCAGATGTGGGCGAGGGCGGCATGTTGATTTGGTGGATGAGAAACCATGGAGGTTTTTTTCCAATTTGTTGAAGGAGCATGATGAGACAATGGGATTATATGGGCGTATATACCATGATGTTAAGATACTTACGTTCAATTGGGGCATTCCGTATCTCAGCTTTTTGATTGTGGAACTGCGGAACGTTGGAATGAAGAGTTGGATCGCCAGTAGACGGTCCGCACAGCCCGATGACTCGCGGCGCCGAGGATCACCTTGGCCATCCAACATCGACTCGGGCTCTCCCAGATCGCCCCTTGGACGGTCCGAATGGGGTGTTCAGACTGAACGGAACTGGTGTCAGTTTAAACTCCCTGAAATATATAATCATAGAAAGTGGAAAATGGATGAACATGGTGTAACATGGATGACCAATGATCCTCTTCAGAAACAGGTGACCCAGGTGGTTTTAAACTTCCATGTTTGTGACTCGCAGTGTTTCATAATTTTTCAGAGTTCATATCAGTACATGATAGCACTTGGCTGGATGTCACAGACACTGAGGGACTGGAACCTGAGCGGTATCGGCCCCATCATTCCATTGCCGTTCCTAATGCGCAGTTACCTTTCACAAGGGAATGTGTTCATTTGATCTCAATTGCTCTGATGGAATCCACAAGAATCATGAAGATTCCATGACTGATGAGATCCAGACCCTGGAAGACGCAATTCATGGTTCATGCTCGTGGTGTTTAAGCTTTTCCCCACCTGCAGGGCCCATCACCGAGGGACTTCCCGTCCAGAGGGACTGAGCGGTGTAACGAGGCGCACACGGTGCATCCCTACCCCACGTTGGGTGAAGCTGTAGCTTGGGCCGCTGAAGGAAGGACTTGGACGGAAGCATTTTGAGTCATCCTACTAGTGATGCCAGTGATGATAGTGATGGCAACTTGCAAATTGTTGGTGAACACAGTGAAAACATGTTTGGTTCAGTTTGGGTGTTTGATGGTGTTTGTACTGGCAGCTGGTCGCTGGTTCAGGTCATGTCTTCAATATCAAGTGTCACATACGCAACCAGTCGTCGATGAGAGGCTGAATGTTTAGTTTTGGGTGGAGTGCATACATAAATGAAAGATATGATATATGAAAGATATGATATGCAACCTATACTATAACACCCCCTTTAGGGTGCTGAGACAAAATTTAGAAGAAGGCCAGGGCTAGACCCCTGGAATTAGTTTCTGCCCGATAGAACATGATAATCTTGGTGAGTCAACCATTGGAACTTGGAGAAAGCAAACAGACCCATTGATCCCCCACATGTCATCAATAATTTGTTGCATCACTAGACATGGCCAAGCAAATGGGTCACATCACGCCTATATAAATACACCGCACCCGGACAAAGCACAGCCAGGTTGATGCCCGGCGTCAGGTGTTGTTAGGTGTGTGGTTTATTGATATGTTAAAGTGCGTGCTCCAACAACAGAACTTGGAGCCTAAGCCTCGTGTTTGCAAAGGCCATCGGGTCTGCGTGACAGACGGTTTCTTTTGTTCCCGGTCACGAGTCACCATCAGTGTACCAGAAGAGTCTTGTGAAAAGATAGTTTGCTAGATCAAGTAGGGAAGACACCCAATGGATCCCAATGGGTGTTGCATGACGAGTTGATTCACCTGTTTGTCAACCATCCAGATGAGCAGAGGCCCAACCCACCCCTCTTGATGTCCAATCTGTGCTCTTCCTACCGGGCCCCTTTTCAGTCCAGTCACTGGGGACCTTCGTCCATCGGTGGACGAACCAGCACGGCGCCCGCCCCAGGTGCAGCAATGCGCCTTGAACTACAACCGCGCGCGCTGGGCCAAGATGCAAACCAAGGCTGGATCGGTGGTTGGAAAGTTGGTGATGTGCTGAAATGGATCTTCATTGGAGGTAGACCAATTGGTCTCAGAAGGGGCAGGTTAATATGATTTTCACCAAGTGTTTTTTTCCTATCTGGGATATCTAGGAGGTGAGTCGAGGGACTCATGTTGAACAAACCTAGACATGCCCAGCATGCTTAGGATGTTTCTGGTTTCTTTCGACTGATCCGGCCAACCTCCCCTCCTGGCATTCTCGTTCTCACGCCAGGCAGGGTACAGCTAGCAGCAGCCAGGCAGGGTACGCGCTCATTCAACCCCCTGCATCAGCCAGGGTGCCGCTGGGATCAGGAGGACCTGTTGTAGTTTTTAGCACCACTTTACAGACAAGTCATGTGAAGCAAATGTGTGCTTCAGATTCGCGCAGCAGTGGGTAAGTGCAGGTGATGAGAGAGTTGACCATGTTGGCCCACTGCTGGAGGTTATGCAAGAAAACCATCTCTCAAGACACTGCTGCATGTGCGATCTGTCCTAGTTGCCAAAGAGCTGACCGAGAATCGCTTCAGTGCACAATGCTTGGCCAGGACATGGGCCTTCCGCACTGTCACTTGTGGACAGCTTGCTGCGGATGAACAGAGTATATCTTTCTTCCTACATCTCCAGGTTGGCTGGAGGAGGAACATCTTGCAGTAGGCTTGCATTCTACAGATGCCACCCATAACAAAACTACTAAAACACAGGAATTGCGCTCTCTTTATTCGTCAACGGTTTGCTTACAGCTCATTTCTTGCAAAGACATCCTGGAGCTGTCAGAGGAAAGATGCCAAAGCAATGCACGATTTTCACGCGCTCGCCAACGGCGCACAGACATGGGCGAGGGCGCTTGGCTATTTCGTCCGTGAACTTCACAGCGTTTGCCGACGCAGAAATGATCTTTCTACATTTTCCATAGGGGTTACAAAGCCCCCTTATAAAATGGTCCACTCGTTCCTTTACAAAATGCAAATCCAAGGGGCATTCTATAATGGACCATGCTGGCAGATTTTGCTGATACCAGCCCTGAACTCATTTTATAAAAGACAACTGGTTGGGGATACTTTGGACAGAGACCATATTTTCAAGGTGATCTGGTACTTGGCAAAACATGTTGTAAAGATCCTGTTTGGGATCATGATGGAAGTTTAACAACGCGGTAAACTCTTTGTCTGTGATCCTTGAACATGGATTTGCGGCATTTGCATTCTGTAAGGAATCTATGTCTTACTGTGGCTCTCACCCAAATGTCTTCACGAGGTATTTCCATTTCATAAACAAGCCTGGTTTCTATAAGCCCCATTGTCATTTTATAGGTGGTTTTCCATTTTATAGCCCGTATATATTTATAAAATGCAAAATCCAGGTGCCCATGGCCGTTGTAACCACTATCATTTTCCTACTATGAGCCTGTGAGCTGATCATTTTGACGAGTGATCAAAACCATGGAAAGCTGGGTCAAACAATCTAAAACAGTGTTTATGTCAATCAAGCCGGTGGTAGTGTTACAGAACGTCGGTTAGCAATATGATGTTGATAGATGTTGAGAGAGTTTACATTGTGTGTAAACGGTTTTAATAAAACCTTCTCTTCAATTCCCCATGTTTTCTTGGGGCGGCAGGCACGGCGGATTTTGCCCCGGCCAGGAGGCCCCGCGACTCTTGGAGCTGTTGCAGGAGAACGCTTTGGTCCGCGGCCCGGCCGGGCTCAGTCTGAGCGAAGTCGAAGCTCATGAGGATAGCGTTGAATCATGTTGAACCTGTTTTCTTCTTCAGATATGATATAGAGTGATAAACGTCTATAGATTAATTAATTGTACTTTCGGTGCTTTTTGACGGCTCTTTTTGGGTGAGTCTGTAGATTAAAGAATCATCTAACCCCGTTTGCACAGCACCCAAAAGGCTGCCCTTTTCTATGTTTTTTTTTTTTGGTCTTCTTCTCCCAGGTCCACCAAAAGGGCTTCCTCCTCCTCAAGGACCGAGTCCGCGCCTGGCTCAGCAGCGCGGTCGACAGATCTCAGTGCTGCGAGCAAGGGGCTCCTGGGCTCCTGCGGCGATGATTTGCCCAAGAAGCCAATCGCTAAACGAAGCACCATTCACTGGAGGATAGTGGAAGACATGTTTTTTCTGTCACCCTTTCTTTGTTCCTCCTATAGGATCTATAGGTTCTTCCCATGAAGCCATGTTCGTTTCAGCACCGTGGAGTGGCGTCCCTCCGACCAGGTGTGACGATTCGCTTCATCCAAGAGATCGAGGCACAGACCAGGGTTTGACCTCGGGTTTGAGTTGGTCCATATGGTAGACATGGAGAAGCAAAGGGTGCTTCCGCCTGAAGATCTCCTCGTTGACCATTTAATGGGAAGTAGAATGGGTTTTGATCTCATGGATCTCATCTTCAGCTGGTTTTGATGGGCTTCGGCTGGTTCCATTCCGGCCACCTTCGCCTCACACCTCTCCGTCGACCCACGGCGCAGCCTGTGTACCACTTGCGTGAGCTGTTGAGAGCGCCGTCGACCGCCCGGGGGCCTCAGTTTATGGGTAAGCGGCACTGGGTCGATTCTTGGAACATGAGGGTGGGTCTAACATGGTCTAACCTGATAAGACCATAACAGAAGTTAGATGGCATATAGACCTATGTTAGACCATGTTACAACATCCAACCTGATAAGCCATGGTCTAAGCTGATAAGTCTTAAGATGTTCCAGTATGTTCCAGTAACATGTTCAATTCAATATGTTCTAGCAAAACCTGAATATCTCAGTCTCGATCCCTTTTGCCACGGAGCCACTTAGTCTTCAGCACATCATCAGAAGTCTTCGGTCTTCCACCTGCACTTTGGGTTTGTTCAGGTGGTGCGATTTTTTAGGACTCTTGTTGAGTCTTGTTCAGATCAGCTTGAGCATGGCCCTCCACACTTGGCAACTCACGCTCCACCCAGTCGTGTCCTTCGTCACAGCGCTACCGGCTGCTGAACTTCCCTCGCCCCAGAGGGGATCGCGAGGCGATCTTCGTGCCGGCGCGCGCGGAAGGGCGGGAGAGGATGGCGGAGGAGTGTCTCATAGGACCAGTGCCTAGGTGTTCAGGAGAAAGAGTGCACACACTTTCACACTAAAGCACCACTTAAGGAACTGAATGTTTGCATGAGCAACTGGCTTATTCGCCCTGATTCTGTCGCCCAGTGGGGACGGCTGCGCAGCAGCTAGACTGTGCAAAAAGACTTATATGGGTGTTTGAATTCTCGCCCGTTCTCCCACTATGATTGCCAATTTCTTTACCATGTAGACTTGTAGGCCTCAGACTGAGGCTGTCACGGGAGAACCGTGTCGAGTCTAGACCGTGTCGAGTCTAGACTGTATAGATGCGGTTGATTAGATCTTGCTTCCAGGTTAGAGACTCCTAGCTTCAGACATTGTTGTCATCCTATCCATCTTTGGCGGCGCGTTTGGCTGGTAGCCTGTCTGTTTGGCAGGTGCTGAAAGCGCGGCTGATGTCGCGCTGAAAAAGACTGGTGAACCGTGTTTGCTTTTTTTGCACCACCGTTGCCAGTGGACACGTATACGCCTCACCAGACTTTAGCATAACTGAGAACGTCACCCAGTCACCCTTGCCCCAATTTGGTATTAATCTTCCTTGCAGTATGGGCATAAACATGCATAAACCCACTTGAACATGTCTCAGCTCCTTTTGGCCTCAGCTCGGACGAAGCAAGGAAAATTGCCATAGGCGATGGCTGAGATTTGTGGCAGCCAAGTAAGCCAGAGTTTGGCAGCTGTGAGAGGCGCTGGCAGAGAGATGGGTGGAAGGGAAGCTGCTTCGTCAATCCAAAGCACTCAATGGATCCCACAACTCCCCGCGGTTTCGCGATGGCGCACGAAATCATGAGAACTCACTCCAAACACTCCCTGCCAATAACAATATGAACTGAAAAAAAACATCCTGGTTGTAGAGGAACATGGTCATGAAAAAGCGGACATGAAGGTTCAGAACATGCATCTTGTTTGGGAATCGACAGCTTCACATGATTATTTTTAGGAAGCTGATGTTCCGAGATGTGCAATTAACGGGGAAAATCCAATGCATGTTCTTTTGGGCGGACTGTGGATCAGTGCAGTTCGCTGGGCCAACTGGTTGAAGCTGCCACTGGTGCCTTTGACTTGAGAGCCACCGTTGTTCCCTAGATTGCTCGGAAGATCCAGCCGCTCTCGCTCTTGGACGCGAGAACCAGATATATTATATATATATATATTATTACTATATATACTATATAAGCTCCAAAACTTTCCAAAACCACTGCTTTGTAGAGGAGAATTGTTTTTGTTGGGGACATGTTCAGGTTATGCTGTGTGAAATTTGACTTGCAACGGTGCCCTTTACGAAGCTGTGTCACTGTGACGGGAAAAATGGGTGCGATCCTGGTATATCCGAGTGACCTTGTGCCGAACCTTAAGGATTGTATTCTTGTTTGGCATGTTTTGTTGGGGTGTGATCAGGTGATAAGGTCAACTACAATGGCCTGTTCTCAGGTTGCCTTTGTTGGCAACAGGGAGGGTGAGGCCTTTGATTTTGCGACTTCACCATGTAAAGTTGAGTGTGTATGCTGTATGTGTGTGTGTGTGAGACAGCGCTTTGTTCATGGCAACATTCAATCAATTGTCTATGTGCGTGTGATATGGATTTTGTTTCATTGTTTGTGTTAATCCAGTGGTGGAAACTCTAGGACTTGAGCCCTGTGACAATTCTACAAGTATGCTAAGGACTTTTTGCGCTTGGTGCTCGTCCGGCAGGTGCTAGCTCCGACAGGCGATCTCGACGCGGCAAAAAAGTTCTGCTCGCCGCTGCGGCCACAGCACCAAATGACCATCACGGTCGTCGGAAGATGTCGGAACAAGGGCAAAATCAGGGTTCCGGTTCTGGAAACAGGGGAATATACGGAGTCCAGCTTTGAGTTCAGCTGCCCACGTTCCAATGCATGGCAGGAAACACGAAATCAATCAACATCACGTCACCACTGTGGTCACGAGACTCCCTGGTGAGGTGCTGGCGGGCGCCAGATGGCAATTGGCTTATGAACTTCTTGCAAGAGAGGTGGCAGAACATAACACTAATACTGGACCTTTCACCGGCAGCCATGAAGCTCGAGAAAGAAGAAAGATATATAGTCAAGACATGTGAAGACATGTTGCATAAAGTGTGGATTTAGACAAGGGCTGACAGCACTCCTATGGGCTTTTATGCCGCACGCATTGAGCACAAATGCCCCAAGAGAACCCAGACGTCAGTCAGGATCCAGACATCAAGATCAGCAGACGCACCTCAGCTGACCCTCATGCCCTTCCTCGAAGACTTTGTGGAATGGTCCGATGACGGCACGACCAACGTTTGGGAACGGGTCAATGACACTGGTGCCTTCAGAGGACTTCGTTGCTCGGTATACTATGGAACGGGGGCTACAGCGACTGAAAGAGACAAAGGTTGGGATTCAAGATTGTTTGTGGTGGACGGTCGGGTTCACTGTTATGATTAGACTGTGTCTTACTTATACATTATATATACAGCATGTCACATGCAATGGTAATGCAATGGTATTGTTTTCTTTGAGCCTTCTGGATGGCTGGGCAATGTTGGGGCAATCATGAGAAGTGCAAACCATGCTCCCACAACCGGGCCTCCAACTGAACCAGACTGATAAGGCACAACTAGCATCTACACTACTTTCTACTTTGCTCAGCGGAATGATGCACCCTTCCCAGAGACTGACCCCAACTCTACAAGAACTAGTCGTTGGGGGATCTTACACACCCGCAGACGTGCTAGGACTTCCAAGCTGATCCAATCCTTATGGACCTTTGTTTTGATCAAGTTTTCACCCAAGAACTAGAAGACCAAGAGCTATGGAAAGACTTTCGCCCTACAAAGCCGAGTTTTTGGGGATTTTGGCGCAGTTTTTGGGGTGCGCATGCTGCCAGACATGTAACTTGGCCTCTTCCCCTGTGAAACAAGGCTTAGTTCCTTTCCTCCGCCTGCTTATATACATTTTTGCAAAGAGTGCAGCGCAATTTCAATAGCTTAAACAACAGCACCAAGGGCTCCTTTGCACGCCACCAAGGCTATGGCGCAGGTGAAATTTTGAGGAACTTGAGGGTCCTAGGCGGAGCTACGACCGAGCCGTTCCGCATCATTACGGAATTGGGGAGTCCCCATTTTGAAGTAGCTAGAGCAGATACTGAAGAAGAATTCAATGAACCTTGGCAGATTTACAGGTTTTGCGCCGTTTCGGAACCTTCTCGGCAAGTTATCGATGATATAGAGTTATTGAATTGTGGCCTGCGAGTGATGAGTCTTAAGCCTTTGCAGCTACAAGGGCTACACGGGCTTTAGAAGGGGTTTGCAGGCTTTTGATACATTTTTACATTTTGGCCTCCATAGGGTCGGAAAGATGTTCAAATGTTCCTGGGAACTGTCATAGGCTATGAGGCCCACCAGCTTTGCACTGAACTTGTGTTTATTGGGCTCTGACAACAGTTGGGCCGGGATGCCAACCACTTCTGTGACATCAAAAACAAAGGTTGTTCCTAATGCGCCGCAGTCCAGGAATTGATGCACAAGCTGAGCTCTCTCACTGCAGAAGACGTGATGAGAGAAGCTGATAGCAATCGCAAGGAGAGTTCGACGGTGAAAGATGTTTCACGGTTTGGATCGTACTGTGCAATTTTAGTTTGTTAGGACCTGCTTCAAAGCAACCCTGCTCAGGAGATGCTGAGACGTTTGACACTCGATTGCATTGGGCGTGGCCGTCCTGCTGCATATGAACATGGACTGGCGGCATGGGCTGGCTCACGATTGATACCGGCTGGTCACACTCTTTTCATCATTATTCCTAATGCAGCTCGCATGTGGGTTTGTATAGTGGGGCCTTTGATTTCAACGGTAGATAGGCTAGTTTACCAAAAATCTTGCCAGAATGCTTCAGCAACTTGCAGTGAATGCCGTTAAAGTGTATGTGATTAAAAGAGTAATTACTGTACTGTAACTGTTTTATTTATCGACACCCTTTTTTGCCATGTGGCATGCCAACATTGGTCTTGAGCATTGCGCCCAATCTCGGATTAAAGTCGAAGGAATCGTTTGATGAACCCAAGAGCTACAGCAGCTTGACCTGCTAGTTTATTTGTCGATCAAACTGCACTGGACTATGTCCTCTATAAGTTTGTCATGGTTTGTCTCAACCTTCTACAACTGATCTACTGCTGAGGATTGCAAGGGCCAGACGTGCTCCTGTTGCTGTCCGATCACTGCAAACATGCACCCAGGCCAGCTGGGTACAGACGTCAGGATTTGTGCTTGCTGCCCGTTTCCGAAAAGGGCGGAGTTACACTTCCCCTTCATCGGTTTGTGAATGAGAATGCTTTGATAATCTTTGATATACCCCTCAAACCTCAGCCTCCTTGAGTCCTATTATTGTTCACGATCATTATCCGAACTATCTCTAACCAACTAGTCAGCCAGCCACCCAATTCGACCTCAGTGCAGCTAAGTCCGTTGATGTTGTATGGTTCAAGCCTTTTCTTTGTGCTTGGGCTGGGTGTCCCTTGGGAGTTTTGTGCTTGTTGAGGTGCATGTCTCGACTGAATTGCTACAGAAGATCTCGACCTTAGAGGTTGAGAAGCTGGAGCTGAAGCGACAGCTGGAGCACATGCAGCGCACTTCAATCCAGCGAGACGTTGACCATCAGGAGCCACGTGTCGCATGATTTGTTCTCCACATTGCATCCAAGGTCCGGGGTGATGTGACACAGTTTTACTAGTATATATTATAGGTATTATGGGGTTGGGTTCCTTTAACAATTTTGACAGAATTGGGTGTGTGACGCAATTGTACTGCGTCATAGCACCATAATGTCAAACATGTTTATTGAATTCACACATTGGCATTTGAATGAGATACATGGCCCATAGATTGCCATAGATTCCGATGGCTGTATCAAGTTCAGTTGCTTTGTTGAGCGCAGAATTACTTGCCAGGAGGAGTTGAAACAACGAGAGCAAGCTCTTAGGGAGGAGTTTGAATGCAGAATGGCTTTTCAAGCGCTGGAACAGTTGGATGAGGTAGCCCAAGCAGGGAAGGATGAATCTTTTGATCCGGGGAGCGCTGAGGCAAATGGCACCTCAGATGAGCAAACCAGCACTCCTGCCACACCTGTGCAGCCACATGTGGATCCGATAAGTTCAGATTCTGGAGAAGTTGCGCGTGAACAAAGTGGGTACCCTCTACCGTCAGTGGATCAATGTGCTACACCTGTGCGCAACGTCTCTGAGAGTTTGGCGATGGGATTGGTGCGGTCTTTCAATGGTCATGATCGTGTACAACCCCCTGGTAGCAGCAGTCAATCCACATATGATCATCCATTCACCAGTGAGGACATGTCAAGCGGCTTGAGTACACAAGCAGATGGTGAGACCTTTGCCAAGAGACTGCTCGGAGGTAGAAAATTCAAGCACAGCCTGGTCAAAAGGTACTGGACCCTGGCCAACGCGGCATATCGGCATCCAAGCTGTGGCCATGTGGAGCAGGACCATGCAACTTAGCGGCGGCCATGGTAGTTCCTAAGTGGTTGCACGACCTCCTCGGGCAAAGGTTTGCAACTTTCCACAGTAGTTGTACATAGAGTCACGGCAGGCTAATCTTCTTCCTGATTCTTTCTTTGGTTTGAAATGGTTGCAAGAGTTGAGAGTTGCCCTTGCTTGGTCACAAAATCATACTTGATTATAGGCTTCGGATAGGCCTCATTTGGGGAAGACTTCAGTGTATCAAAGGCCCGTTGTTCCTTCAGAGATGGGGGAGTAACCCACTAACTAGCGGTTGAACAGAATGAATTTACCCATATTTACCCTGAGCCTCCAAGCCACTAAGCCTTGTATGTGATGCTCAGGCCCTTTGGGAGGTCATCGTGGACAGCCGTGCAACCAACACTCGAGTGATCGGCCGTCGTGTCAGCGACACCTTAGAGCTAGGCTTCCGAGGGACCGTGACGGAAGATGCCTCCGGGGTGCGGAGCTCTGCGAATTGGAGTACCAACTTAGAACCTTTGCAAGAAGTCGATCAATATGTTGCACTTTTAATAGTTTATATAGACTTGTGTGAGATCCGATTTTGCACACAATTGAGCAAGCGGCGATTAAAGTACAGGGGGCTTCTTGGACAGATACTATTATAGCTTAATGTATCTTAATGTTGATTGGGTATGGATAAGGAGCGACAGGTTGCTTTGCGAAAACGTTCTGGAGTGACGGAGATACTGAGGAATATCAAGCGGACCCACTGCAACTGTTGCCAGAGCAGAGCCAAGGCAATGAAATTTTGGTGCACCGAGGCTTTCAAAATGCCTACTGTGCGGTCCGAAAAGACACCTGTTTGAACTTTAGTTGCTTTGCTAATTATTAGTTTCGATTGTGGTGCGAGCATAGTATTATGATTGCAAACAATGTCAAGAGCAAACCTGCAGATATGGAAGAACCGGTAGCTTCTTAAACGCAACGATTAATTTCAGGAAATCTTCGCCTGGCTACTGAAGCAGTGCCCGCCTGGTCAGCTGGTCTTGCACTTGAGTGGTCACTCCCTAGGTGCCGCCCTTACGACCCTGGCAGCTGTGGAGCTTCGCTCGAAGGGATGGCGAGTTGACGCAGTAGTGACCTTTGGAAGTCCCAAAGTCGGGCAAAGCTCCTTTCGCACACTGTACGACAGGCTGCTTGGTTTGGCAAAGGCAGTTTTGTCAAACAAACCTCAAAATACTATTTAAAATATGTTTAAAAGGCATGTAGATCCTTCAGCGGCGTTTTTCTATAGGAAGACTATAGAAGACTACCGACTTTTTTCACCGTTGCTTTTTGAAGCCTGAATGGAAACCACAATTGCTTTGATCAACCCTGACCAAGGCTGGGATTGACTGGATGCACTGCTCGGTTTGTCAACGGACCAGATCCGGTGCCCTTGGTTCCTCCATCGTCCTGGGGGTTCGAACACGTGGTGGCAGAACATGTGTACAACATTCAATCAGGCTGAATTCAGCTTCGATGAGTTCTTGTTTAATCAGATGTGATGCCAAGTTGGACCAGCAAGGCCAGCAACCCTTCAAGGACATTTTGAGCTGGGGAAGTTAGCATCGTCCTGTTTAATCCTTGCAGTCTCACTGCCCATGTTCCAGGTAGCATTCGGGAAGCTGGCCGCTTGGCGTGTGGCATCACCTGGTTCACAGCCGGGGTTTTGGATCCCACACTTCAGGTGCGGTCGCTGTCACTGTTGACTGAGACCAAATTGGTTTCAATGACTCATTGCCTAGCCCTGCCAGACTCCCCTTTTTGCGCAAAACTTTCATGAGTCCATTCATGCTCCAATCCTCAAAGACTCTTTATGGTACAGTACAGGATGTAGATTTAGGTTTAAGCAGTCGTGGGGGTGAAGGAGGTGGATATTGGGATTAGCTTTGTGCCTTTTGCATGAGCTGTCACATTGCCTTGGTCTTGAAGGCCAAGCAAGAGCTGAAAGTTGGCATCGCCCTAGTACGTCAAGATCTTACGAAGCTGGCAAGCAGTATTGCTTTAGCAGTTGAAGTGCTAAAGGCCACAGTGCCCAGGCAAGCATGATGCGGAGTATGACTATTTACGAGATGTTACAAATTTGTGTTTGAGCAGGACAGGGGCAGGCAAAGACTCGGTCTGTTTCTTTGAGTTGCTGGCAAGTGTTTTGTCTTCCAACCACTGCTCATTGCTTGGTGCCCTCACTAGTTGGCTCAACTAGTATGGCAACAGTTTGTCCAGTTGGATGTGCTTGTCATGATGAACTTTGTGTGTGTCCTTTCGCTACAGCATTGCCGTGTAAGGTGCGACGTGTCCAACAGTGGGAATGGCTTGTGGACATGGAGACCTGGATTGAGCTCACCCAGCGCTTTGGAGCACCTTGTTCCACTACACAGTTGGAACCATGGACGCGGACCGTGTCGCTAGGCACCGATTTGGATCGATTTGGCGTGCCTTGCATTACCCTTGAGTTTGCCGTAAAAGTTGCCCGCTGGAGGCTGAATGAGACATGGGGTGCTTATATAATATATATAGATATGTATATGTATAGTTATATAGTTATAGATACTGGGGTTAAACTTCCTGATGTTCAAGTTGGCCGCACGGATATAGCACGAGTCATGCAGGTGGCATATACTTTGGAGTGAATACCTATAAGCTTCATTTGAAGCTTGAGGCTTTGGTTTTCTCAATCACTTTCCTTGAGCCGGAGGATGCCAGAGGTATTTAGCTTGAGTCTATGTTTAGTTTGTTGTGATGACATGTTATGACATGGTGCAGCGCCGCCGAGGCCACAATGGTTCACAGTGTACAAGGAGAAACTGAACAGGATTTTTGCCGCCGCCGGGGCTGAGATGTCCGATCCAACATCAGAACTCGCACCCCAATTCATCACTTTGTACCTCAGAGCTGCCGTTTTTTTTGGTGATGGCCATGAGACAGTGTGGTGCTCCAGCCACGGATTTGGAAAGAGAGGTCGGCGTTCTTGCCACCAACACGCGGTCTTCGTTACGAAATAGCTGGCAGGTTGTCCTTCGCATCATTTTGGAGAGTTTGGCCGTACCTTTCGACGGAAGCTTGCAGCAAATTGGACAAGCCCGCCTCAATCCAATGAGCCCGCTCAGCATGGACAGTCTCAGGGAGTGGCTTTTCCAGGACTCCTCAGACCTCTTGCTGCAAACTCACACGGACCATGATGTCGAGGATGAATTCTTTGTGGAGTTGGTGCGGACTTTGCTGCGCCCACGGTCTATGAATTCAGTGAAGATTGTGTGCCCTCACACAGCGAAGCTCACTGACAGGACCATGCACGCGATCGCTACAAGGCTCCCTACAACAAAGCACCTGCATATGGAATTCAAGACGCGCCGGGAATTCACGGATGAGTCCTTGAAGGTGCTGGCTAGCCATTTGCCGAAGGAGCTCAC